TTTCCTCTTTGAAATCAGAGAGGAACATTTTGAGTAACTTGCCACAATAACTATTTTGTCTAAATTTCACACCCATGAAACCATCCCCACAGTCAAGTTAATGAACATCACCATCACTGCCAGAAGTTTCCCCGTGCCCCTTGGTGGAGCCTTCAAACCTCCCTCTCATCCTGCCCCTGTTGCCAGGCATCCATTCGTTCCCATTCTGTCACTATAGATTTGTGTGCATTTCCTAGAGTATACATAAGTAGAATCATATGTTTAATTTTTAAAATACTGAGCTTTCCCTTTCTGACTTTGTGAGACATGTTTAGCTGAATTAACAGTAAAATTAACAACTTTATCCTTTTCCATCACATTAGAACAATTTTGTGACCGTGGATGAAGCCTTAAAACAATGTTGTGCCTTTCAGTAGCACAACTGTGTTTTCCCATTTTATTTCCCTGTTAGGCGTGGGCCTCTGAAGAGCAGCCTCAGTTCCCAGAGCTCAGATGGTGAGTTGCATGAGAGACCCTCCACCTCTGCTGTGAGCTGCTTGAAGGGCACGTGCACATGTGGCATCCGTATGTCCAGCCGCAATGCCATTTCCAGTTCCTACAGCTCCACTGGAGGCATCTCTCAGGTACATGCACCTGGTGCTGTGGAAGAAGTGGGTTCTTTGCATTTATTAGTTGATTATGCAGTGTTTACTAGCCACCTTCTGTCAGATGCTGAGATCTCCTGTAAGCTAACAGCCATTACCAACCCTTGAATGATCACTATGGACCAGTGGAACAAACTAGAAAGCCCAGAATGCCTATGTGGAAAGCTAATACAAGACAGAGCCATTATTATACATAAATGGACAGGGGATGAATAATTCAAAAAATGGTACTAATTTGATTAAAAAGGTAGATTGAGTCTGAATTGTATTGGGTCATAAATTCATCCTCTAGGCACTGGGAATTTAATGAAAGTTTTAAAAATAAGTGGTTATAATTATTTTTAGAAAGGATATAGTGTAGACTGGAGAACAGATCAAGTTTTGCTACCAGAATGACTTGGGTTCAAATCTTGACTTTGGCACTTAGTAGCTATAGACTCTTGGGCAAGTAAATGACTTAAAGTCTCTTTTTCTCATCTCTAAAGGATTGTTGTAAAGATTGAAGGGAATGTTTGAAAAGCACCCATTACAGTGCTTGTCAGTAAGCAGGCACCCAATATACAGGAGCTAGAAAAAAAGTAACGCATGCATGAAGGAGGTTTTTGAGAGGAGAAAGAATTTGGCGTAAGTTTTCATCTGTACAGAAAGCTCTTAGAGTAATACAAATGACACATTAATGATAAATGACAAATATAGGCGATGAAGGCCCCGGCCAAGCAGTTATGGCAATGCAGAGGATAACAATACGAAGCTTTACCTGGATCTATTCTGCACTAGGCCCTCTGCTGAGCACTGTACACACATTTCCTCAATCAGTGATCACAACAGACCTGACGTACAGTCACTGCCCCTTCTTACAATTTTACATCAAATGTCATACATACACAAAGGAAGGAAAAATATCATGATGAACCTCCATGTGGCTCCAGCAGTTAACAGTGTTTGGTCAGTCCTGATCCATCAACACCCCCACCCCAAATTGGTTTTCCTCTTGTGTTTTTAAGTACAAACATGTTTCACCTGTAGGTACTTCAGTGTATTTTTGAAACTTTTTGAACATTAATAACCACAATGCCTCTATTCCTCTGAATAATAATGACTTAATGTTAGTTATCATCGCTCCAATTTGCCCTTCTTACCCTCCCTCTCTTATTACAGTTACTTTGAATCAGGGACCAAAAATCAGCTCATTGAGTTTGGTTCACATGTCTCTTAGACCCTTTCTTTTTGGGCATTAAAGGTATTTAATTAATATATGTAACAAAAAATCTAAACATAAGGTTGTACACTTGTGGAAATGATTTTGACCTACTTCATAAGATAGTTGTGAGGCAGTACATGTAAAGTGTTCACCGAGTCTACACTGTCCATAGTAAACATTCAAGAAGTGCCACCAATTACTATTATTTTAAATATGTACCATCATTTACATTTCAGGGACTTAATTCACACTCAGAGCTTCAGACTTAGCATTATACAAGGCTGTATCTGACGGCCTAACCAGCAGGCAGGGTAAAAATAACCTTCACTTTTTTAACAGGCCTGGGCAGAGCGAGGATGCTCTGAGGCGCAGCGCCGGGGGCAGGGCGGGGCGGCGGGGGAGGGGCGAGCGTCGCGCCCCGCCGCTGCCCGCCGGTCCCCCGGGGGAGAGGTCCGCATTCCACGGACCGCCGCGCAGCCGCGCGGGGAGCCGCCTCCGCGTCCGTGGGCAGCTGCGGGGACGGCCGCAGGAGGCGCGCGTGCCCCAGGGCCTCCGCCTCCCAGGGCGCGCTGCTCAGGCCGGCCGGCGGGCCTGACGTGCTCCCCGCGATCGCAGAACCCCTCCGCGGTTCTGGGGGCGCGCAAGACACACCTCCGGGGCGCGCGGGCCCCGCCAGCACGCTGGGTACCCTGGGTGACAGGCCCCGGCTCCCAGCGCCAGGGCCCGTCCGAGGAGCCGCAGGCTGCCTGTCGCCGTCCTAACAGCACCGCCTCTCTGAGCTCTCCGGGCCCCGCGCGGCCGGCGCCCCCTGGCGGCCTCCAGCTGTCAGGCTCCCCCCACGGGGAACCAAGGGCGCGTTGTCCCCGCGGCCGCCCGCCACAGGCGCAGAGCACACGGGCTGGGGAAGCGGCCGCGCGCCCTCCCCCGCTGCGGGGACGTTGGGCCTTTCTGACTCTTAATCTACGGTACTACCACTACGCTTTTTCTTACTTTTGAAAAGTCTATCAGTATGTTCTATAGAATTTACTACATTTTGGATTTGGTTTTTGTCATGGTGCCATTTTGACATGTACTCTATCCCTATTTTCCCCGTAAATGGGCAGTTGGCTCCTGAGGTTTGATGAGTTTCAAGTTCAATGATTCGGGCAGAGGTGCTGCTGTGCACTTCTGATCGCATCACATTGGGAGCACGTGCTGTGCGGTTGCTTCCCACTGGGCTGGGGGGTCAGTCTGATCCTTCCATTTATTGTTTCTATCAGCTTTTCACCTGCTGATTTTAGCGGCCATTTATCACCTTTGTCTATGTCCATTGTGGCAAAATGGTGATGTTCTAATTCTGTCCTTCCCTCTGCATTAGGTCTATATAATTCTAAATAGAAGAACAAGCCCTACCTATAGGAGTGGCAGGAGAATAAGCAAACAGTGATGCCGTAGCTAATCCAAAGGTGACCAGTGAGGTTCTTGCTGTGTTATCTTTATGAACTGGTATTTTATAAACATTTCATGATCCCCAGTATAGTGTAGCTGCTCTTTCTGATGCAACTTGTCCAATTTTGGCCAATGACGGCCCTTTTAAATACTGGCAATTGACTCACTTTTCAGAAGCCCCACTTAACAAAGAAATGTTTTTTTCATCACTTGAAAAGGAGACTTTATATACAGTGATGGATTAGAGCCACAGAATTATGTTGAAGGTCAGATCCTATGTTATTCCTTAGGGTCAGTCACGTGACTTGTGTTTGGCTTTTAGCTCTGGAAGAGGCGGTGTCCCAGTGCCTCACCCTTCTCCAGACCAGCCTTATCCCACTCACAGACACCAGAGAGGCCAGCAAAGAAAATAAGGTAATCAGTGATTTGCTGTGTGGATTAATGAGTGGGTGGGAAAGGAGGGAAATTTAGTTGGCTCTTAGGCTTTCTGAGACTCCGATTTGGAGAATCAAAATGGTTCACATCTAAGGGACAGAGACGGTGCCACCCTGAATAGCTCTCATCTCTTGCAGTCATCACACAGTGACCACACCAGCCTCTGCTCCACCTCATGCTGCAGTGTGAGGGGCTGGGACATAAGGGGAAGGGCTTGCATGGGACAGAGTGAACAGAGTGACTGATGGGAGTGGGCAGCAGGCTCCACATTCTAGACCCCAGCTGACCCTCTAGGTGCCCGACTAGAATGCCACTTTCTTAGAGATAGAGGTGTGACTAGGACTCTCAGAAACTTGGCAGGTTGTATGTAAGGTTCTGAAGATTGTTTTCTGCTAGTTTTAAGACAAAGGTGTCTCTGTGGCTACTGTGAACTGCCTCCCTTCATTTCTTTAGGAATTTTCTTTGCTTCTTTTTGTTGTCTTGACACACTAAGATCTTAGTCATAGTTGTTCTAGACTTTGGTCAGTTGGTAGTTAGGAGGGTGTAAGAAGTTATCCAGCACTTTTCTAAACTTAATTGTGTCTCTTCCTCCTACAGAGAAGAGGACGTTTCTCAGGAAGCTGGCTCTTCCGCTCCGCCGGTAGACAAGGAGTCCCAGGGAGAACAGGGTACGTTGATGAACGCGTGGCATGTGTTCCCTTTGGTTTTCTTTTGGTCTTTCTCTTCTGAGAAATCCACCTTTGGGCTCTCAGTGGACTCTGAGCACAGTGAGCACTGAGATTGAGAGGAAGCATTTCCACATGAGTTCCCCCGAGTCCCTGGGCCTCCCGTGCTCTGTGATGCCCCTGGAAAGAATTCTCCTACCAGGGAGGACAATCCTTTCTTTTTTCCTTAGAAACGGCCTCGAGCTCCATCACGGAGAGCCCCCCTGCCACTCCACCGGCTTCAACTCTCGTCCTGCCCGCTGCTGGGACTGCTGCTTCCTCAGCCTCCCCCCCAGCCCCACTGACTAACCCGCAGTTTCTCCCCAAGTACATCATCTTCCTGAAGAACCCGAACCCCCTGGGCCTACCATCTTTCCCAGGTGAGCGGGAGCGCTTTCTGTGGAGCACACAGGGCCATCAGCCTCTGCGTAGGCTAATGTGAAAGCAGCATGCCAGTCAGTTGCTAAAAAGGTTGAAGCTGCTCTGGCTTAGCACACCTGAGCTGGTGTAGGGCTGACGGCTTCAGAACCGTCTCATCAGGAGCAGATTGTAGGGAAGGGCCTGCCGCCCTTAAAGCTGGAGAAGGCAGCCTCCTTTTGGTAGTCAGACGGCTGTTGGTTTGCAGCCCCATTCCTTAGCTGCTCTGAGCCATGCTTGGGTTCAGATGATTAGATTTTCCTTGGTGTCTGTCTACACATTTAACCCCTGCTAGGCCAAGTTTTATCCCCTGCTGACTGTTTGATGATCTGTGTAGGGTAGAAATAAGGAGCACTTCCTTGATTTTGAGGAATGATTATGTTAGGAACAGGTGGTATCGATTAGTAATATTTGTTGACTCCTGAATCCCTGGCCCAGCAAGGCTTCTAGAGCACCAAATACCATCACGTTTGAGATACCATAGTTGACATTTTCTGTTCTTCTTCCTAGAATCTGCTGCAGTGGCAATGTTGGGGGAGAGGCATTGTGTATTTTCCTCTGTTCTTGTCCCCGCTGTGACAAAGAATTGAAGGGCAGAGACACCGTAGTAGTGAAGCAGAGTAAAAGTTTTATTTAAAGTTACTTAGCCAGAAAGAAGTGCAGGTGACCTCAGTGAGGGAGGAGCGCTCTGAGAGGTTGGAGAGAAAGAGTTTAAGAGTAAAAGGTCACACACGTAGAAAGTGTGGGTGACTTCAGATAGAGGAGCGCCCTGAAAGGTTGGGAAGAGTTGAAGTTATGCACTTAGGAAGTGCACGCGACCTCAGAGAGAGGAGTGCAGCACCCTGAAAGGTTGAAAAGAGGGAGTTTAAAGTTAAAAGGTTACGTACTTAGAAAGTGTGGGTGACCTCACACACTAGCGCAGTGGAAGATTGGGGTTCTCCCTTTTAAGGATTTTTCAGGAATGTGACAGAGGGCTAGGGTGTGGGCTTGTGAAGTGGTCTCAAGTATCTTTGATGAGACGCTAAGTTACTCATCTGTCCTCTAGGTAATTCTGCAAAATTAGCTTATCAAGACTGTCTGCCTTTCCTCCAAGTGGAGAGAGTTATTTGTTTGCTAAAGGGTATGTTAAGAATCCTTCTTCTGAAACTTCCTGGTTTTTTTCAAAATACAATTTTGGCTTTAAGGTGGCATCTCCCTGTCTTTACTTTGCTGTTTATAGGTGGGCCATTTAGCAGGCTAGAGTAAATCTTACAAGGATCTAGTGGACACAATGAAGACATCGGCTGTGCTCAGATACTTTTATCTGGGGAATACTCAGACCTTCAAGGCCAAGTTTCTCTTGACCTTCTGAGCTTTAACGGATTAACTCACTAACTCTGAGTCTTTTCTGGATTTCTAGTTTTAACTGGTTAACCTTTCTAGGGGGCTTTACTGACCCTATTCTCTTTCCACCCTGCTCATATGTATTTTTCTGTCTGACAGCCACCCCCAATGCCCGTTCGCCCCTGACGACACCAGGCCTTCTGGGCCCTCTTGGCTCTTCACAGCCTGGTCCCCCCAGACTCCAGGTCCACAGCCACTTTCTCGGGGCTGACCCCTGCCTCTCCCGCAATACCAGCCTATGATGCCACCAAGTCACCTCTGGCCTCTCAGGCTGAGACATCTGCCAAACCCCAGGCCCTGCCTGCCCCAGGCCCCACTCTGAAGCCCAGTGTTCCATTTGGAAACCGAGCAGCCCACCTGCTAACCCTTCTGCCTCGGCAGCTCCTGCTGTGCCTTCAGCACGTCCCATGTTCAAGCCCATCTTTGTGGCTCCACCTAAAAGTGGGAATGAGGGTCCTGTGCCATTCAGCCGTTCCCATGTCACAACGGTGGCATCTTCCAGCTCTGCCCCCACCCCGACTACCAGCAGCCTCCCCTCACTTTCAGTCCTGTTTTTAGCAGCACAGGGCTACCTACATCTTTGCCCTTGTCAACTCCTTTCTCTACAGACGACATGAGGCACTAGCACAAATGCCTGTCTGTTCCCTGGCCAGGCCAGTGTTAGTGTCCCCTCAGCAGCGGCTTGGGGGACCACCACCGGCACAGATGCAGACTCCACCCAGAAGCCTGTCTTTGGCTTTGGTGCGAGCATTGTGACCAGCACTGTGAGCAGCATGACCAGCTCCACTACTTTCACTGCCCAGCCTGTTCTCTTTGGTCACCCTCTTGCCTCTGGGGCCAGCTCTGCCCAGCCATGGGCTCCATACTCCAGTTTGGCAGGCGCTGGCCACACCTGCTCCAACAACAGCCATCACATTTGGCCAGTCCCTGCCTGGCATAGTCCAGACAGCTGCTGGTAGCAGTACTGCCAGTTTTGGTGGCTTCGGTGGCACCCTCACGACCTCCGCCCCTGTTGCCCCGAGCCAGTCTGCACTGACATTCAGCAGCACTGCCACCCCAGCCTTCAATATCCCCTTTGGTTCTGGCACCAGGCCCCCCATTCCTTCCTATCCTGGAGTCACCCCACAGCCCATGTTCGGGGCCACTGATGGACAGCAGATGGGGGCTGCCAAGCCAGCCCTGTCCCCCAGCTTCAGCAGCTCCTTTCCTTTTGGAAGATCAGCAGCCGTGGCTCCACCGTAGCCAGCCTTTGGCAGTGCTGTGTGGTCAGGTTTTTGTGGGTTGAAACCCGCTGCCTCTCTTTGGCACCCCCCTCCTGCACCAAGCCAGCCTTTGGCAGCACCATAGCTCCTTCCTCCTTTTTTTAAATTTTGTTATCATTAATCTTCAATTGCATGAAGAACTATGTTTACTAGACTCCGCCCTCCACGAAGTCCCTCCCACATACCCCATTTGTCACTGTCCATCAGTGTAGTAAGATGTTGCAAAATCACTACTTGTATTCTCTGTGTTGCACAGGCCTCCCCATGCCCACCCCCTCATTATACATGTTAATCGTAAGGCTGGCTTTCTTCTTCCACCCTTCTCCCTCCCTTCCCACCCATCCTCCCCAGTCCCTTTCCCTTTGGTAACTGTTAGTCCTTTGTCGGGTTCTGTGATTCTGCTGCTGTTTTGTTCCTTCCATTTTTCTTTGTTTTTATACTCCACATATGAGTGAAATCATTTGGTACTTGTCTTTCTCTGCCTGACTTGTTTCACTGAGCATAATACCCTCTAGCTCCATCCATGTTGTGTGAATGGTAGGATCTGTTTTTTTCTTATGGCTGAGTAATATTCCATTGTGTATATGTACCACATCTTCTTTATCCATTCATCTACTGAAGGACATTTAGGTTGCTTCCATATATTGGCTATTGTAAATAGTGCAGTGATAAACATAGGGGTGCATCTGTCTTTTTAAAATTGGGCTGCTGCATTCTTATGGTAAATTCCTAGAAGTGGAATTCCTGGGTCAAATGGTATTTCTATTTTGAGCTTTTAGAGGAACCTCCATATTGCTTTCCATAATGGTTGAACTAATTTACATTCCCACCAACAGTGTAGGAGGGTTCCCCTTTCTCCACAACCTCACCAACATTTGTTGTTGTTTGTCCTTTGGATGGTGGCGATCCTTACTGGTGTGAGGTGATATCTCATTGTGGTTTTAATTTGCATTTCTCTCTTGACAAGTGATGTGGAGCATCTTCTCATGTGTCTCTTGGTCGTCTGAGTTCCTTCTTTGGAGAACTGTCTGTTCAGCTCCTCTACCCATTTTATAATGGGATTATTTGCTTTTTATTTGTTGAGGTGTGTGAGCTCCTTATATATTTTGGATGTCAACACTTTATCAGATTTGTCACTTATGAATATATTCTCCCATACTGTAGGATGCCTTTTTGTTCTATTGACGGTGTCCTTTGCTGTACAGAAGCTTTTCAGCTTGATATAGTCCCATTTGTTCATTTTTGCTTTTGTTTCCCTTGCCTGGGGAGATATGTTCATGAAGAATTCTCTCATGTTTATGTCCAAGAGATTTTTGCCTATGATTTTTTCTCAGAGTTTTATGGTTTCATGGCTTACATTCAGGTCTTTGATCCATTTTGAATTTACTTTTGTGTATGGGGTTAGACAATCATCCATGTTTCCTCCTTTTTTGCAGCCACCACCTCAGGCTGTGGAGCTACAGCCCAGACCACCAGCAGCAGGACCAGTAACTAAGTGTTTGGGAGCACCATCTCATCGCCTTCACATCTGGGGTGTCAGCAGGCCCCACTGGCAGTGGGGGCTTTGGGATGAGTGTGCCTGCCCCCCACAGCATCTCCACCACTGGGGTGTTCAGCTTTGGCGCAGGACAGAGTGGGAGCACTGGCAGCACGGCCCCTTTCTTGGGAGGCTTGAGTCAGAACTCCCTGGGTGCAGCTGGCCAGAGCACACCCTTTCCCTTCCACGTGGCTGGCACACCTCAGAACATGTCTGTGTTTGCAGGTGAGATCTGAAATGGGCTCGGTCTGCAGTGTCAGGTGCTGTTTTAAGTGCCAACACGGTCTCTGCTCTCGGAGCTGTACGCTGTGGTGAAGAGACAGATGTTATCACAGATGTTATCTGTAAGCAGTGTCAGGTAGCCATGTAACTCATGACCAGAGGAGCTATTTAGGTAGTCAGGGGCAGCCTTTCTGAGGCAATAGCAAACTGAGGCCATGGCCGTAGTTCCAGAGTTGGGAGCAGGGACAGCGGCTGGGGGTGAGGGTGTTGCAGGCACAGGAGCAAAGGCACAAAGGCAGACATGAGCCTAATGTTTTCATGAGCAGAGAAGAGCCAGGTGTGGATAGAGGTTTAAAAAGGAAAGTGGGATAAAATGACATTAAGAGACAAGCAGAAAGGAAGATCATTCATAGCCTTTTAAAATGTTTTTTTTTTTGTATCAATCTACAATTACATGAAGAACATTATGTTTACTAGACGCTCTCTAGTAAGGATGATGGTGATCCTTACTGGTATGAGGTGATATCTAATTGTGGTTTTAATTTGCATTTCTCCCATGACAAATGATGTGGAGCATCTTTTCACGTGTCTATTAGCCGTCTGAGTTCTTTCTTTGGAGAACTGTCTGTTCAGCTCCTCTGCCCATTTTTTAGTTGGATTATTTGCCTTTTGTTTGTTGAGGTGTGTGAGCTCCTTGTATATTTTGGATGTCAACCCTTTATCAGATCCGTCATTTGTGAATATATTCTCCCATACTGTAGGATTCCTTTTTGTTCTATTGATGGTGTCCTTTGCCGTACAGAAGATTTTCAGCTTGATATAGTCCCATTTGTTCATTTTTGCTTTTGTTTTCCTTGCCTGGGGAGATAATGTTCATGAAGAAGTTGCTCATGTTTATGTCCAAGAGATTATTGCCTATGTTTTTTTCTCAGAGTTTTATGTTTTCATGGCTTACATTCAGGTCTTTGATCCATTTTGAATTTACTTTTGTGTATGGGGTTAGACAATCATCCATGTTTCCTCCTTTTTTGCAGCCACCACCTCGGGCTTTGGAGCTACAACTCAGACCACCAGCAGCGGGACCAGTAGCTCAGTGTTTGGCAGCACCATCTCATCGCCCTTCACGTCCAAGGTGTCAGCAGGCCCCGCTGGCAGTTGGGGCTTTGGGATGAGCGTGGATGCCTCCCACAGCAGCTCCACCACTGGGGTGTTTGGCTTTGGTGCAGAACAGAGTGGGAGCACTGGTGGAACGGCTCCTTGGGAGGCTTGAGTCAGAACTCCCTGGGTGCAGCTGGCCAGAGCACACCCTTTCCCTTCCACGTGGCCGGTACGCCTCAGAACACGTCTGTGTTTGCAGGTGAGATTTGGAATGGGCTCGGTCTGCAGGGCCAGGTGCTATTTTAAGTGATGACATTGTCTCTGCTATTGGAGCTGTACGCTGTGGTGAAGAGACAGATGTTATCACAGAAGTTATCTGTAAACAGCATCAGGTAGCCATGTAACTCATGACCGGAGGAACTATTTAGGTAGTCAGGGGCAGCCTTTCTGAGGCAATAGCAAACTGAGGCCATGGCCGTAGTTCCAGAGTTGGGAGCAGGGACAGAGGCTGGGGGTGAGGGTGTTGCCAGCACAGGGGCAAAGGCACCAAGGCAGACACGAGCCTAATGTTTTCATGAGCAGAGAAGAGCCAGGTGTGGCTAGAGGTTTAAAAAGGAAAGTGGAATAAAATGACATTAAGAGACAGGCAGAAGGAAGTTCATTCATGGCCTTTTAAAATGTTTTTGCTAAAGGACTAAGGGAAGTCACCATAGAATTTCAGACAGAAGGAAGTGATTTTATTTGCCATGTGGAAGATGCATGATAAGGAGTTTGGGCCCAGGGAGCTTCCATTTTCTTCACTGTATATAAGAGCTCCTTGGAGCGCTTTATGGGGAGATATATACCAAGGAGGGCCTCTCAGTAGTCATTTTGGAGAGGGGAAGAAAATGACATGTGAGAGCTGTGCCAGGCAGTTCTGAAGTCTGGGAAATTGTGGTTAGGAATTTGAAGCAAGGCTGGTCAGCACAGTTGTGTGTATCTGCCCAGCAACAGTCAGGCTTGAGGTGTGGATCTAAAATAAGTGGATAGAGAGTGAACCCAACCTGGTTAAATGGCACAGGGAGCAGGAGGGGCAGGGGGCTGACTACAGGCCCTGATGAGGCAGAGGATCTGGAGTGGGTGCGGTTGGCACGGGAGCAGGGACAGCACTGTGCTCACATCTGAGATCTGGGGGAGGATCAGTTCCTGGTTGCAATAAGGTGTGACCCCCAGAGGCCAGGTGGGGGGCAAGATTACATGCAAGGTCAGAACCGTGGCAGGCACCCACCCCACCTTAGGCCTAGACAGATACAGATACATGTGAGAGGATCTTCCCAGAAAGCCACTGTGGAGGGTAGCCCAGCACTGGGCAGGAGGCACCATGAAGGCAAGTGTGTGCAGGAGATTGAGTTCAAGTGGGCCTGTGGGAGGATGGGGGCTGGAGGTGGTGTGGGGCTGTGGTGAATTAGAGGAGAGGGAGCAGGCAAATGGGGAAGAGACATAACATTAGTCATGAGAGAAGGGAGATGCACCCAGTGTCCCCCTCAGCTGTGCTGTGGTGGCCAAGGGAGTGCAAAGGTTCTCCTACTCAGGTGGCCAAAGGGCAGCTAAGGGGCTTGTGCTCTGCTGCAGCTGGTGGTGGTGGAGGGTGAGCTCCAGCTCACGTGGAGCACAGGATTTAGGACCCAGTCACCCCATGTGCTTCCTTACCGAGGGGTGAGCTGGACAGCAGTGTGGGCTAAGGGATCCTGTGGGGATGCATTTGCAAGCAGACTTCCCCCAGTTCATTACTGCCTGCTTTGACACCTTCTTCTTGTGTGCCTAGTTGTCACAGTTCTTTGCGGTCTCTCCATTCCAGGCACATCCATACCCACCTTTGGTCAGAACACCCCTGCCCCTGTTGTGGGTGCATCAGGCATCAGCCTCTCCACTGGGGCATCCTCAGCACCTGCCCAGGGCTTTGCTGGACCTGGAACCTTTGGTAAGTCGCAAGTCTCTCTAGTCAGGGTGACCTGCATATTCCTTGAAGATGGGATGGGGTTTTGGGGGGAGTGTTGTGTATTTTCCTTGGCCCTTGTCCCCACTGCAAAAAAGAACTGAAAGGCAGAGACACAGTAGTGAAGCAGAGGAAAAGTTTTAATAAAATTACTTACAGAAAAAGTGCAGTCAACCTCAGAGAGGAGCACACTGAAAGGTTGAAAAGAGAGAGTTTAAAGTGAAAAGTTTACGCACTTAGAAAGTGCAGGTGACCTCAGGGAAAGGAGCACCCTGAGAGGTTGGGGGTTCCCCCTTTTAAGGATTCTTCAGGAATATGACTAAGGGCTGGGGTTGCAGACCTGTTAGGTGGTCTTTGAATAATACTTAGAACTAACTTAACACAAGCAACTTCCTGCTGTGATTTCTCCCTGGGAGCCCAGCCTTCTTGGTCTGGGGGCATATCAAACAAGACTGCCTGCCTGGCTCCCAAGGTGGCTGAGATATTGTCTGTTTGCTAGAGAGTAAGTTAAGAGTCTTACTTCTTAACATCCTGGGTATTAAAATGCAATCTTATTTTTAAGATGGAATCCTTCCTGCCTGTGACTATATTGTTTTTGCTGGGCTTGCTTGGCATTATTGATTGTCCATATTGCAAACTACTTGATTGGTGCCAAAGGAGAAAAAAAAAAGCATGTACGTAAAGTTAAAAAAATAAGCTGGGCATGCTTGATTAACACAATAAAGCCATGGGCTATGCTGAGGTACCCTCCTTTCTCTGGGGAGTATTCAAACATTCCAGGCCAAGTTGCTCCTGGCTTTTTGAGCTTTAACTGATTCACTTTGGGTCATTTTTAGCAGGCTTTTTCCTGGCCTTATTCTTTTTCCATCCCACTCATATCTATTTTCCTGCCTAACAGGGTGTGATCCCTCAAGGAAGAGGCTAAGAGAGATGTGACCTCACTGGCAGTCAGTCACCACTGAGGAGCAGGGAGGGAGTGGAGGCCTGGGACTGCTGAATGCCTAACTCTGGAGATCTGATCACAAACATACATTTCATGGTGTTTTCATGGTACTCTCGTGATTAGGGGGTTGAAGAGCTAAGACAGGCAGAATACCTGGAGAGACTGAGATTCCAGCTGCTTGTGGAAAGCAGGGATCCATACCTGGCTACTCTGGGACAAAAGAAAGCCGGGCAGTCTGAGAGACTTCCAAACAGCAAGAGGGCTGCTAAAGGGCCAAGGATTGCACAGAGCTTATTGCTCAGGAGAAAGGAGAGGCAGACAAAATTGTCCAGGTGCACTCTGTCCAGGAGGTTGGGAACTTTCATGATCTTCAGGAACTCTAGCTCCCTGGCTGGCTACACAGCTCCAAGGACCACCTCCGTGATAAGCAGCCTACTGCGCCTTTCTCCCAGCCAGCCCCACCTGGCTTGCAAACTGGCAAACCCAACCCTTGCATTCAGCCAGCCAGAGGGTAGCCCTGTCTACAGCAACTACAAACGAAAGCATAGAGCCTTATACCTGTGTGTTTGGCTCACTGGTTCTGACAGTGGAAATAGGCACAGCAGCCGGGAAGCAGGAAACAGCTCTTTCCTCCCCCCAGGCACCAATACCACTCCCCTACGATGCCCAACATTGCTTCAGGGGCTGAGCAGCTCCAGAGAGTAGAGCTTCTGAGCACTAGAGTGCACCATATACAAATACAAAATGCCAAAGGAACCTGGTTCAGAGTAAAATTATGAATATGAATACAACCCCTGAGAAAGATTCAAATGAAATCGGCTTCATGAATCTGCCTGAAAGGTATTTCAAAATAAAAATCATTAAGATCCTCATAGAGGTACAGAAAAATGTTCAAGAACTCAGGGTGGAATTCCAGTTGGAGATCCAATCATTACAGAACACAGTATCAGAAATGAAACATACAATGGAAAGTTTTAAAAGCAGATTAGACATGGTGGAGATGATAAATGAAATACAAATTAGAGAAGAGGAATACAAAGAAGCTGAGGCACAGAGAAGAAAAAAAGATCTCTAAGAATGAAAGAATATTGAGAGAACTGTGTGACCAATCCAAATGGAACAATATTTACATTATAGGGCTACCAGAAGAAGAACAGAGAGAAAAATGGATAGAAAGTGTCTTTGAGGAGGTAATTGTTGAAAAGTTCCCAATCTGGGGAAGGAGATAGTCTCTCAGGCCATGGAGATCCACAGATCTCCCAATATGAGGGACCCAAGGAAGACAACACCAAGACATATAGGAATTAAAATAGCAAAGATCAAGGATAAGGACAGACTATTAAAAGCAGCCAAAGAGAGAAATAAGATGACTTACAAAGGAAAGCCCATCAGGCTATCATCAAAATTCTCAGCAGAAACTTTACAGGCCAGAAAGGAGTGGCATGATGTATTTAATGCAATGAAGCAGAAGGGCCTCGAACCAAGAATACTTTATCCAGCAAGGTTATCATTTAAATTTGAAGAAGGGATTAAACAATTTCTAGATAAGCAATAGCTGAGAGAATTTACCTCCCACAAACTGTCTCTATAGTGTATTTTGGAGAGACTGCTATAGATAGAAGGATTTGTAAGGTGTAATAGCTGTCATCAGAGGTGGTTAAACCACAGTAAAGAAAGTAGAATAGCTAATGACTAGGCAAGATTAAATGAACTATCCCCAAAGTCAATCAATGGATAAACAAAGAGTACATTATATTATACCTAATATATAAAGAATGGAGGAGGAAGAAAAAGGAGGAGAAAAAAAAAGAACCTTTAGACTGTGTTTGTAAAGCATATTAAGTGAGTTAAGTGAGACTCTCAGATAGTAAGGAAGTTACTCTTGAACCTCTGGTAACCACGAATCTAAAGCCTGCAATGGCAATAAGTACATACCTAGGGACTATCTCCCTAAATGTAAATGGTCTGAATGCACCCATCAAAAGACATAGAGTCACTGAATGGATAAAAAGAAAGACCCATCTATATGCTGCCTACAAGAGACTCACTTTAAACCCAAAGATATACACAGACTAAAAGTGAAGGGATGGAAAAAGATATTTCATACAACTAATAGAGAGAAAGAAGCAGGAGTTGCAGTACTTGTATCAGACGAAGTAGACTTCAAAACAAGAAAGTCACAAGAGACAAAGAAGACCTAAGTCTTACATTGACAATGGATACCTTTTTTAATTCAGTGTGCCTGGAATGAGCATGGTAAGAGATTCTCTCAAGTCTAGGAAATTCTCTGTTTGCAGACTCTGATGCAATGATAAAGGGATCAATCCAACAAGAAAATATAACTGTTATAAATATCTATGCACTCAACACAGGAGAACCTACATATGTGAAAGAAATACTAACAGAATTAAAAGGGGTAAAAAGAATGCAAGGCATTCATTCCAAGAGACTTCAACACTCCAGTCACTCTGAAGGACAGATCAACCAGACAGAAAATAAGTAAGGCAAATGAAGCACTGAACAACACATTAGAACAGATGGACCTAAGAGACATCTACAGAACTCTACACCCAAAAGCAGCAGAATACACATTCTTCTCAAGTGCACACGGAACATTTTCAAGAAGGGACCATATCCTAGGCCACAAAAAGAGCTGCGCTAAATTCAAAAAGATTGAAATTGTACCAACCAGTTTGTTTGACCAGAAAGGTATGAAACTAGAAATAAATTAGGCAAAGTAAATGAAAAATTCCACAAACACACGGAGGCTTCACAACATGCTCCTAAATAACCAATGGATCAATAACCAAATAAAAACAGAGATCAAGCAATACAGGGAGACAAAGGACGACAATGATTCGATACCACAAAATCTGTGGGATGCAGTCAAGGCCGTGCTGAGGAAAGTATATTGCAATACAGGCCTACCTCAGGAAAGAAGAATGCCATATGAACAGTCTAAACTCACAATTAATGAAACTAAAAAGGGAAGAATAAATGAGGCCCAAAGTCAGTAGAAGGAGGGATATAATAAAGATTAGAGCAGAATTAAATAAAATTGAGAAGAATAAAACAAAAGAAAGAATTGATGAAAGCAGGAGCTGGTTCTTTGAGAAAATAAACAAAATAGATAAACCCCTAGGCAGACTTATCAAGAAAAAAAGAGGGTCTACACACATAAACAGAATCAGAAATGAGAGAGGAAAAATCACTACGGACACCACAGAAATACAAAGCATTATTAGAGAATACTATGAAAAATTATATACTAACAAACTGGATAAGCTAGAGGACATGGACAGCTTTCTAGAAAAATACAACCTTCCAAGGCTGACCCAGAAAGAAACAGAAAATCTGAACAGACCAATTACCAGCAATGAAATTGAATCCACAGTCAAAAAACTACCTAAGAACAAAACCCCTGTACCAGATGGCTTTACCGCTGAATGTTATCAAACATTTAGTGAAGACCTAATACCCAACCTCCTTAGTTTTCCAAAAAGTAGAAGAGGAGGGAATACTCCCAAACTCACTCTACAAGGCCAATCACTCTTAATACCAAAACCAGGCAAAGACACCACAAAAAAAGAAAATTACAGACCAATATCTCTGATGAACATAGATGCAAAAATCCTCAACAAAATATTAGCAAACTGAATTCAAAAATATATCAAAAAGATCATCAGGATCAAGTTACAACATTTGAAAACTTCCATCAACATCATCCACTACATCAACAAACAGGACAAAAACCACATGATCATCTCCACAGATGCTGAAAAAGCATCTGACAAAATTCACCATCCATTCATGATAAAAACTCTCAGCAAAATGGGTATAGAGGGCAAGTACCTCAACATAATAAATGCCATATATGACAAACCCACAGCCAACATTATACTTAACATCGAGAAGCTGAAAGCTTTTCCTTTAAGATCGGGAACAAGACAAGCACATCCACTCTCCCCACTTTTATTCAATATAGTTCTGGAGGTCCTAGCCATGGAAATCAGACAATACAAAAAAATAAAAGGTATCCAGATTACTTCAAGCTCTACTACAAAGCCACAGTAATCAAGACAATTTGGTACTCTCACAAGAACAGACCACAGACCAGTGGAACAGAACAGAGAGTCCAGATATTAACCCAAACATATATGGTCAATTAATACACAATAAAGGAGCCATAGGCATACAATGGGGAAATGACAGCCTGTACAAAAGCTTGTGTTGGCAAAATTGGACAGCTACATGTGAGAGAATGAAACTGGATCATTGTCTAACCCCATACACAAAATTAAATTCAAAATGGGTCAAAGACCTGAATGTAAGTCTTGAAACCATAAAACACTCTTAGGAAAAAAACATAGGCAAAAATCTCCTGGATATAAACATGATCAACTTCTTCATGAACATATCTCCCTGGGCAAGGGAAACAAAAGCAAAAATGAACAAGTGGAACTATATCAAGCTATAAAACTTCTGTACAGCAAAGGACACCATCAATAGAACAAATAGGTATCCTACAGTATGGGAGAATATACTCATGAATGACAGATCCAATAAGGGGTTGACATCCAAAATATATAAGGAGTTCATGCACCTCAACAAACAAAAAGCAAATAATCCAATTAAAAAATGGGCA